TCCCTGGGGTGGGATTCCCTTCCCAAATTCCCAATTTCCCATCCCAAATTCCCACCCCTTTATCCCATCCCAATTTGGGGTTTTTGGGGTGATTTTGGGGTTTTTTGGGGATTTTTTTTGGGTTTTGGGGGGGATATTTGGGGTGATTTTGGGGGTTTTTGAGTTTTTGGGGTTTCTCTGGTTGATTTTTGGGGCAAATTTCTGAGGTTTGGGGAGATTTGGGGGTGCCCAGGTTGATTCTGGGGTCATTTTGGTTGAGTTTTGGGGTTTTGGGACAGTTTTGTAATGATTTTGGGGCGATTTTGGGGATTTTTGGAGGGATTTTGTAGGGGGAACTGAAGATTTTGGGACAACTTTGGTGATTTTAGGGGGTTTGAGGTGACTTTTGGTGATTTTGGGGTGATTTTTGGTGATTTTGGGGGTCTTTGGAGGGATTTTGCAGGGGGAACTGAAGATTTTGGGGGGGTTTTGGGTGATTTGGGGCGATTTTTTTGTGATTTTGGGGGGTTTGGGGTGATTTTGGGGCGATTTTAGGTGATTTTTGGTGATTTTGGGTGATTTTGGTGATTTTTGGTGATTTCGGAGCTCCGTTTTTTCGGGAACATCCAAGAAACAAACCCAGAATTTGGGAAAACACCAGGAAAAAGCAAAACCCTTTGGAATTCCGACCATTCCCGGCTCCGCATCCCCGAATCGCGCGGGGACGGAAACCCCGCCGGGGATTATTCCCGATATCCAACGGGAATTCTCCCCGGGGTTCCCCAGGGAGGGCGGATCCCGATCCCAGCCGGGTTTTCCCGGGATTTTCCCGCAGATCCCGGGAATTTGGCGTCCATCACCATCCCGGCCTCGCCCTTCATGCAGAAGTTGGGATTCGGCACCGGAGTCAGCGTCTACCTGATGGAAAGGTCGGGAATTGTGATCCCGGGAATTGTTGTGATCCCGGGAAATCCCGGAGCCGATCCCGGGGTGATCCCGGCTCTCCTCCCCACGGAGCCGGGATTTGGGATTTGCGGAGCTGGGAGGGAGCGCGGGGCCCTGAGATGAGCCCGGCCTGGATGGAATTCCTGGGAATTTGGGCTCCATTCCCAGGAATTCCTGGGAATTTGGGCTCCTTTCCCAGGAATTCTGGGAATTTGGGCTCCATTCCCGGGATTTCTGGGAATTTGGGCTCCTTTCCCGGGAATTCTGGGAATTTGGGTTCCATTCCCGGGAATTCCTGGGAATTTGGGCTCTGGAATTTTGGGATAAGCCTCTCCTGGCTGGAATTCTGGGATTTTTGCCTCAGTTTTTTTGGGATCACTCTTTCCCACTTGGAATTCTGGGGATTTGGGTTCCATTCCTGGAAATTCTGGAATTCTGGGCTCCATTATTTTGGGGTCACCCTTTCCCACCTGGAATTCCAGGATTTGGGCTCCATTCCTGGGAATTCCGGGATTTTGGCCTCAGTTTTTTTTGGGATCACCCTTTCCTGACTGGAATTCTGGGATTTGGGCTCCTTTCCTGGCTGGAATTCCAGGATTTTGGCCTCCAAAATCCTCCTCCCCTCCCCCAGGCCCAGCCCCGCCTGGAAACAGAGGCGGATCCCGATTCCCGTTCCCTGGAGCCTTCCCATCGCCCATGGATCCCATCCTCTTCCCAATCTCCTGGGGGATTCCGTGAATTCCCGGCATTCTCAGGCTTTTCCCGCACTCCCAGGCTTTTCCTGGAATTCCTGGCTTTTCCTGGAATTCCTGGCTTTTCCCAGCTTTTCCCACATTCCCAGATTTAACCCCATGATTTTTCTGGACTCCCGTGATTTCCCCAGGATCCCTGGCTTCCCCCGCATTCCCGTGATTTCCCCAGGATCCCTGGCTTTTCCCGCATTCCCGTGATTTCCCCAGGATCCCTGGCTTTTCCTGGATTTCTTGCCTTCTCATAGAATCCCGTCATTTTCCCGGGACCCCAGGCTTTTCCCAGATTCCCCAGATTTCCCCAGATTCCCAGGCTTTTCCCAGGATCCCATCATTTCCTTGGATTCCCAGGCTTTTCCTGGATTCCCACGATTTCCCTGGATTCCCTGGATTCCCAGGTATTTCCCTCATTCCCAGGCTTTTCCCCTCATTTCCCCGTTGTTCCCGGTGCCATTCCGGCTGTTGTTCCCGGCTGTTCCCGGTGCCATTCCGGCTGTTGTTCCCGGCTGTTCCCGGTGCCATTCCGGCTGTTGTTCCCGGATGTTCCCGGTGCCATTCCGGCTGTTGTTCCCAGGTCTCCCCGCGGCTGTTCCCGCTCCCCCTGGGCCGTGAAGAAAATCAACTCCGGCTGTTCCGGGATCCAGCGCAGCCTCTTCCAGCAGCGCCTCCGGAACGAGGCCCAGACCTTGCGCAACCTGCGGCACCCCAACGTCGTCGGTGCGGGAACAGCGGGAATACCGGGAATGGGGGCGGGAACACACACTGGGAATGGGGGCAGGAACACCGGGAACCCACACCGGGAACACTGGGAATGGGGGCGGGAACACACCCCGGGAATATCGGGAATGGGGGCGTGAACAGCAGGAACCCACACCGGGTACACCGGGAATGGGGGCGGGAATCCATACCGGGAACACCAGGAATGGGGGCAGGAACACCGGGAACTGACACTGGAAATGGGGGT